GCATTTTCAAGGGAAGAGCATTCCACAAATGGAGCCTGTTTCAAATATAAATGAAGCAGTGACATGAAGAGAGAGAAAAATGGCTTCCCCATCAAACCTATTTTGCCCCCCAGGGAAGGATAAGCCAACAGAGCCAGACCCAAGAATCATGTTCAACAGAATTCATCCAATCCAATTGCCAAGTGAAGGAAATGTCAGCTCTCAGACATACTAGAATATGAAAACCAGTGCTCCAGCTAATTAAAGGTAAAATCCAACTGGGCTAAGCAAAATGGGGTATTAAAACCAGAGAGCTCAGCTACCTGCCTGACCAAGAGGTCACATTCTTAAATACCACTTTTATCTTGATATCACAAGCCATCTGACTTAATGAGCTTCTTATTGCTAGGGAATTACTATTGCTATAGTTAAGCTAATGAGCTAAAGATTACTCTGAAATTTCTCTTTCCCATTTGCTCTCATCTCTGATTATTCAAACACAGTTTAGAAATTAAAATTACCATATACTTAGTTAATGTAAACAGAAGCTGCTTGGGATTCCCCATCCCTACTTTTTTTTTTTAAGGTGGGGAAGGTAACCTCTAGCTCCAATTAAGCTTTTAAAAAGAAAGAAGAGAGGACTGTATGTAGATCTTAATTGAAACCAGAGCTCAGAAATGCTTCTGGTCAGAAAACATTGTTTCAAGACATCTAGGAGCCCCAGCAAGGAGAAGCAAATAGGGAGGGTGGCAGAAAAAGAGGAAAGGAGAAGGGGGTGCCTCCCCACATTTGGCTCTGGCACCACCCCATGCCAGCGTGAAGATTACCCTCTAAACAGAAAAACAGTTCCTCACCCATGGTTTAAGGGAAAGTAGTTATGTCAGAAGGAGCAGGGCAGGGCATTAACTCCCTCAGGGCAGTATTATAAAGTGTCATAAACCAAAGTGGGGAATAAATAAGATAAATTTTCAGGAGTGTGTTTCAAAAGGCCTGGACAATTATTTGCACCTGCCAAGGTCTAGCAACATTTCCTGAAAGTAATTTCAAGGGGCACAATGTGAAGGCAAGGACTCCTCCCCTGTGCCACCCTAGTGCACTTAGGAGCCCAGGGAGACAGAACAGAGAAGTATCACGGAGAACCAAACGTCTTCTGAAAGCTCAAGGGAGATAAAGTGACAAAGGACACAGGAAGGGCACAGGGCGTGAAACAAGGAGAAATCCCTGACAGAGCTACCCTTCATGCACTTCTTCCCCCACTACATTCAGATTCAGAACTACAGAAAGTCCAGTTCTACATTCTGATCAAACTTCACTCTATTTCAGTATCCAGTATCCAGAAGGTTCCCTCCATCTCCTGAAGATAGTGCCTAACTTTCAATTATTCACGGCAACCCGGGCTGTTAATTACACAGTCCCAAGTTGCTAAGTAAGAAAACTGGTGCTTAATTAGCCAGCAGGAAAGATTGATTTGGATACAGCGGGGCATCGCACAACGTTCTTCTGCAGGGGATACCCGTCTGTGACCTTACGAAGGATAAAAACACTCTGCCCACTTGAGTGAACTGGAAGGTGGGGGTTTAAAATCAGACTAGACTAGTTTAGACCAGTCTACAATGGCGAAAATGCGCCAGTTATTGCATGACCAAAAAGTCAGAGCAAGAGTATGCAGTTTAAGGTCTCTTTACAATGGGACAATGTGAATTTGAGAAACCCAGTTTGCATTCTCTGCACAATAATTCCACAATACAATCTATGCTGGTTTTACTTCAAACCCCTCTATAAATCCAATGAAGAGAAGCTGCAGGTACAGCAGAAATCAGGCTGCCATGTTAATGGCCCTGGGCACAAACATGAGGTATATCCTAATCAGGCCCATCAGGCTGTTTGGGGCAAACTATTCCCTTTCCTTGGCCTGACATATATAATATCGGGCACAGAAAACTTCAAGCTGCAGCTAGAAGAAGAATCAGAAGCAAGCTCAACCTGCACTTCTGAAATGTCCATCACTCCCCTGGCTTGCCTTTAAGCCAGGAAAGCAAAACAGAGGGGGGGGGGTTCAAACTGCACCTGCAAAAGAAGTTTGGTTTTTTTGTCCTTCACAGCCCAGCTTCAACTCAAGCCATGGATACAAAGGAATAACTGGGAGTGCAATTGAGTGATTGACAGGTGGCTCGGGTCACCCACCTGTCAAAGTGGCCTGCAGAAGCAAAGAAATTCATTATCCAGCTATTCCTTTCCCTGTCTTAAAAGTGACACACCATGGCAAGGTAGGTATCAAACGGAAACTGGGTGACCCTGAGGAAGTTGGACTCTCAGCCTGCGTTCCCAGTCCGTAATACGGAAATAAATGGGTTGGATCTAGAGAAGGTTCCTCCATCTCATTATCATTGTCAGAGTTTTAGTATCTGTGGGGTAATAGTGCAATTCTGGTATTTATACCCACATAAGTTTGATTCTTAGTATATTAGATTCTACGTCTTCCCTTGACATACAGAGCCACACTACCTCCAGTGCCCACCTCCCTGTTCTGTCCATAGAGTTTACACCCAACCACTGCTCTACCAGTTTCTCTTATTTCCTTCATGTCCTTTTAGTACAATGCATTCCAGTTTCCTCATTTCCCTTTGGCATTAACATTTGAACACCTGCTCACCAAATCCTTTCCCACGTGTCCTTTTGTGTCCAGTTTTCCTATAACTCTTTGGCTTCTTTAAAACGTGTTCTTGTTTCCTTTTGCACACTCATTGCCAGATTCTATCATAACTAGAACCGAGCCAAATATTTCCCAGCATATATTTTTCTAAGAAAATCTTGAAATCGCAAGTTTCCAATCTTTACAGCTGTGAAAATATGCCCCAGAGAACGTAGGCCTGGTGAAATCTCAAAAAGATGGGCTTGGGCACAAAACAGTCAGCAAAAGAAAGCTCATCACCCTGAATAGCCTTTGTCCTTCCTCATAACAAAAACAAACTCAAACAAACAACACCAATCACCATAATTCTTGTTAGTAAGAGGGCAATACATTAAAATCACTAAGATTTGGGACATATTTCAAATATAAAGCTGGATCTAATCACAATGTATAAAGTTGATAATGGCACAGCAAGAAACTTGTCAACAAGGAGAGAGAGATTGCATAAAGCAGTTGATTAGAAGCAACATTTCTAAAATGAAATAGTCTATAGTTCTACCTTGTATGAAATATAACAAATACAGCCCAATATAAGAAGAATAAATTATGCAAAACATAAGCAAACTTGCTTAATTTAGTTTATTCACGCTGGACAATTTTGTCTTTTATTAGTGCATAATTTCGATTTGGTGTTGTAATGCAGAGTATACATGGTGCATGACAATTCTTGGCTGTCCTTGACTTTCTAAGATGCCCCTAACTTGAACCTTTAAAAAAAAAATGCGGACCCTCCTTATCCTTGCAATGCCCTGCAATTCCCACCAGGTGCTCCATTCTTCTAATCCCCCAACACATGTCCTTCAAAATCTGCCTGCAATGGCATCTAATAGCTTGTGGAGGCGATGGAGGTGCCAATTAAATTAACAGCAAAACGTCTTAAGATTCCCCAAGTGACCCTGCCCTTCAGAGGAAATGCCACTTATTCCAGAACATTCTGGCTTCCATGTAAGACTCTGTCCCATATGCCAGTGTTGCTCCACATGTGGGCTTTGGAGCTGTATCCCATTCTTATCAAGAGAAGTATTTTGGTTGGACAAGCACTAGAAGGACCCCCTCATATAAGCAGGGCATGTATGAAGTGGTTAGAAAGCAAGGTGGGAGTGAGGCTGTAGTATGCAACATTGGAGTGAAGGGGAGGGAAGAGATGGAATTGACAGCTGAGTGGGAATGTATAGGGTAAGAAGAGATGGAACAAAAAGATGGGAGGCAAAAGGGGCAGCAAGAGAGAAAAGGCCCTAGTGTGACCTTTATTTATTTAACATTTAAATGTAGGGCAAATACTATCTCTATAAAATACCTATACCACACATATTCATTTAAAAAATAAGAACAAGGCATTTTATCTTGCTATTTAAATGGCTTCTTAAAGCTTGTGGCCTGAGCTTGGCAAAGTGATCCACAGCTTGTGCTCAACGGGAGCATAGCAAAAACAATGTGTTTATTTCTCCATGAAGAAGATTCTTAACAGTGCAATCCTAACCATCTCTGCTCAGAAGTCCTGTTGAATTCAGTAGAGCTTACTCCCAAGTAAATGGAATGAGGATTTCAGCTTAAACTAGGAAAATGACTTATGTGCAATGCAAGCCTTGCAACATATACGTTAAAGTATTTACATTGCTACCTCCACAGCCAACGTACTATATGCTTAGTTCCCAGAGATTCCTGCTCCTAGGTAGCAGCAGGGGTACCAAACCACACTGATTCTCCAACGGCACAAAGGACTGCAGCCAGGATGGGGCTGTGGCCAGTGAAGAGTCCCTCTGAGCTTCTGGACCCTTGGGCCAGTGCCCCACCTGGCCCATTGCTTCAGCTGGCCCTGCTTAATGAGATAAGTTGAAACATAGATTTGCGGCAATCATGTGGATAGCATGGTGTGTGTCTATCCAGTTTTATTAGTAAAAAGTGTATGAGGGTAAGGAGGGCAACCTTTCAGTTATACCTTACCAACCATTTCCCCCAAGTGCTATTCTCACAACCAATCACACTACCCGAATTAGAGCTTGTGGGAAGGGGGACATGAGGGTGAGTGAAGGAAGACTGCAGGAAACTTAAGCTGCAGTTAGGGCCATGTTTCTGCACTCCCTCCTTTTGCTGTTACAAAACAGATCCTCATTAACAGACGCATATAAACCAACATCATGTTAGTTTGGTCCTCAGAGTTCAGAAAAGCATAAAAGAACAGGTTCTACGTTCTTCTGCACTTTCAACTGAAGCATTCCGTATTTGGCCACAGTCAGACACAGAAAACAGAATTTGATAGATTTGCTTAAAAGAAAACTCAGAAAACTCCTACAGAAATTGTCCCCATACAACTGTTGGATATACAAACCTCTCTTTAAGTTGCTTTATATCAATCAAGATTGCATCCCTCTGCCTCTTCTCTGTAGCATTCAGGTTCTCATCCTGCAGCCCCTCCACCAGGTAGTCTTCAACATCTGTTTAGAGAGATGTGGGGAGTAGTTGCAAAATTGAGAGAAGGAAAAATTAGGCTATTAACAGAAACATCAGACAAACTACCAGTTCAACAAAGCAACAATAATTTCACAACCTTAAAAGGTGATCCTCAGGGTCCCTTCCAACTCTACCATTCTATGATTCTATGAACTATGTTTTAAAATTCAAAGAAATGCTATAACATTGAAGACAACTGTTTTTCAATTTGCATAATGTTCTGGAAGGTGTGAAATGTGTAGCGTCATATTAAAATGCACACTGTCCCATCCCTAAAAGCAGCCCTAACTTCAATGCTTCTACAGACCAGTGACAGGGTGCATTGTAATAAAAACACCAGTCACTTCTGCAAATTTCCACAAACTACAGCCTTTCCCTCCCAGTCCCAGTCCCATTTCCAGAGCCATCTGCCATGTCCAAAGCACCAGGAAATTAAATAGAAAAACCAGGCCATAAAGTTTCAGAGTGGAGTAGGAAAAGAAGCATGTAAACTGCTCAAATTTAAGCTGTTTGAGATTAAGTTGCGTTAGTTTTACTGCTCATCTGTGATGTTATAAAATATCAAGAAAGAACACAGACAAGCTAGCAAGTTTGGCTGCAGATATTTTGCAAACAGGAAAAGAAACAAAAATATATAAGGCTAGAGAAAAACCAATATTAATGCCGAAACAGTCAGGTAGTTACCACCTTGGCTAAACTTAGTGTTTAATTTGAGATAGAGTGCTTAATTTGCAAAGAGGGGTTGTTCAAGGGAGGGGGAGTATTGGTTTGTTTTGTTATGGTTCTTTTTATTATGCATTTTGTGTTTTTATCTTGTATATTTATTCTGTGAACCTCCTTGAGATCTACAGATAAAGGGTGGCATACACATTTCATAAAGAAATAAATAAGTGCCACTATCTGAATATAAAGAGCATTGTGGAACATTAAAGACTAACAAATTCATTATAGCATTCATAGACTCAAGCCCTGTTGCACATATCATACATATTATGTTGACAGAGGGAACAGGGTATGGGATAGGCCTCAATTGTTTCAGCATGAGCAGTTATCACAAGAGCTAATGCCTTGAACCCTTTTTCTCACACCAGGGCTCTGCCATGGACTACTGGAAGTAACAGCACAAGGAGTGCCTTTCAGGAGTCCAGAGATTTTCCTCACTACTGAGTATACAAATTCATCCCCCATACACCTGCTGGGTTGAAGTGGGAGGCTTCCATGCAGCTTCGAGGCCCAGCAACTCTCATTTTATAAATTAATCCACTTTAATACTCTGATCATGTTACAAACTAACTCTCAGTACAAAAGAAAAATTGTGAATCCACACATGCAGAAGATCAATTCAATCTAGCTCCCTTATTTCTGATCTGTGTTTTCTAAATGATATGATCGCTTCTGACGACACATTAGGCCGACGTGGCAGTTGACTCAAGAGCCTGTCTTTCTAGCTTGCATAGATGGAACGTACCTTCCCTATCGGAAGGCCTAGAGACTCTGCAGATTGTTAAAAGACGCAGCAAGTTTGATATAGGAGAGCGTGACACGCAATTAATCTCCATTCATAGCCTGCTCTGCTTGTCAGGAAAGGAAGGCTCCTGCTTTAGAAGGGGATCCAAAGACTTCAATTAAAAACAGTCAGCTAACAAGAAAATAATCTAAGCTAAAGGAAAGGTGGCAGGTGCCGAAAATGAGTTGTTTACGAGAAATGTCAGCTCAGAACAATAAAGCACCAAGCATTTTTAAAAAAAAGTGAAGCGAGCCGACTGCATCACAGCCTCGAATCTAAAACAGGAGAGGAAACCCACATATTCAGCAGGGGAAGACAACCGATTCAAATAACAAGGTTTCATTACTCTGAGCCAAAATTATTGAGTCTTTACTTTGGCTTAGCTTTTAAAGGCTTAGCTTTTTAAAGCTGTTTTTAGTGCCTTAGCCCCAGAACTTGTGGAATGATATGAGTGCCTTTGAGCATGCGCGGAGTCCTTTCTTCAATATAAATTAAAACGCAGGTGCCTGGTCACAAAAAGCAAATTGCAGGCAACAACTCTCAAAACTCATTTCCTATCAAGTGTTTGGAACATCAGAACATGCCTATAGAAAGTTTTTGTTTGTATTTCCATGAAGAAGCAAGCCAAGGGATATAGATATTTAACACATGAAACTTTTCCAGGCACAGGGAGTAAGTGGTAGGAAGAATTACATCCGCTAATGACTATTTATCCAACTGTAGTTAAAGACACAAGGTGGGAGTAGAGCCAGGAAAAGAATAAGATGGCAATTTTAAATAGCTGTGGAAATGAGATGAATGGAGAGAGTGGAACACAATGCTCAGAGCTACTTTTCTGACTACACATGTTGTACAGCTGAATTCTACAAACAGATTCCAAAACAGAGCTCTATTAAGTAACCCAAGACTCAAAATTATTGCCTGGGAATAGTAAAGGCTTTGCTGAAGAAATAGTTGGGGAGAGTGGGCTTACCAGTCTTTTCCTATCAAGCACTGAGGCCACCAACTTCCTTTTCCCCCTTTGTGATACCATAGATTTAGACTAAGGGCAGCAGGATACAGCGGCGGAGCAAGCCAATCGGGCGCCTGGGGCGGCGCGTGTCCAGGGGTGGGGCCAGCCACCTGCAGGGCAGGGCTAGCCGGGGTAGGGCACTCTGCGGGGCCTCCAAGCCACCGTTTGGGGCAGCGTGGAGCCTGCGTGCCCCCAAGCCACTGTGCCACTCCCAGGAGAGATGCGTGGCTCGAACGCGCTGCAGGCCCTGCGGTGAGTGCTGCCCGGCATTTTGTCACCCTCCCTCAGTGGTGGCACCTGGGGCAGCCTGCCCCTACGGCAACCCCCTTCCTCCACCCCTGGCAGGATAGTGACTTTTGTCCACTGCTTCCCAAGCCCCAAACCTTACATCCAAGCCACTTTGACCTGAGGTTCCCCCACATATTTAGTTCAGTATGACCAAGCAGCAGAAGTGCTGAACTTACTATTTTAAAAAACAATTCTAAAATGCCTCTTAGTGTAACAATGTGTTTGTGCATGCAAGGCACACACAGGCATACATATATGGCAAAAAGCCAGCATATTTCATGTACACAGAGATATCATAGCTCACTTCTTATTGTCAGGGGTGCGCTGATTTTTTTCTCCAGGGAAATATTTACACAGACACATGCCAAAACCACCACCTGTACAATGCTTTGTTTTTCCTCATGCGATTTAATAGTAAACTCACAACACAGTGAGCACAGAGGGTTAAAGCACATTCTGACACGCAAAAGGCTGGAGGTTCAGTCCTCAGCATTTCTAGGTGGGACTCGGATAGACCCCTTGTCTGAAACCCTGGAGAGCTGCTGCCACTTAGTGTAGACAATACCAAGATAGGCTGACCAGTTATCTCATTTGGTATAAGCTTCCTGTGTGCCTTTCCTACAATGACAATGGTGGTGCTCCATCTGCAACACACTGTGTCCTACCTACTCATAGCTGTCAACATTTCCCTTTTTTTAAGGGAAATTCCCTTATTCCGAATAGGATTCCTCGCAAGAAAAGGGAAAAGTTGATAGCTATGTACCTACCTTCTTAAGTTTAAGGAGTAAAATGTTCCTGTTTGTCCAGACATTTACGGTAACTTCTAATGCTGGTTGAGTCAATTGCAATGGTCGCTCTCTCCCTGTCATTTATGTGAGCAATTTATATATGCACCACTTGACACCCTATAGCTTCTAAATAGTGTCTGTAGTTTCTAAGTGGTGGTAGTACACATTTAGGTTTTGTAGGAATTTTATAGCAATTTTACTGGTGAACTGTAAACTGCAACTGCCTGAGTGACTTTAACATATAAATCCTCCAGTCTGGTGCTGTTTTCATTTTTTGTTTTTTACAGGTGTATTCTACAACATGCCATTCATTGATACAACAATAGTGCATTTATAATGGTGAATTTATACTGGGTCATACACACATCATTCTGCTTTATTAATTGTTTTACGATGCTTCCTCAGTGTTACTGCATTACTGCTGCTGAGAGAGGCACTCGTGAACCATAACACAACAAAAACAGGAGGGAAACTTTAAATATTTGTGGTTAAAAAAAAAAGTTACAGGATATCAGCAGGAAGATATGGGACACGCATAGACAGGAAACAAGACAGCATGTTTGCCCCAAAAATTTTGCAAAGAGCAGTAAAAGCAGAATTGCATATAACCATCGTGATGCCATAAGGAACCCAAATCATGTTGTTGTTGTTGTTGGCATCTGTCTGTCTTGAGAGACAATGGAGGTTCTCTCTAAGGTAAAGTCAAATTGCTGGAGAATCACAGCACTTGCTGTGGCTGCAAAAACCGGCGACTTGTAACTGCTGCCTTCAGCGTTGTTTTTCCCAAGTTAGCAGCACTCAAGTGACCTCTCCAGGGCACAAGCCTGGGTAGTGTATATGGAAGTCAAGGGGTGCCCAGACGATTAGACCTCCCTCTCAGCCTCACTGATGTGGTCCAAAGAAAAGCAGAGCAAGACATTTGGCACCAGCTTGGCTGCAGGAGTTGCTGGAAGGGGGTGTACAAGACGCCATCCAACTGTCTAAGGGACTCCATCATGAATGCACAATAAAATAACATATGGATGCCTTTAGAATGCAAGCTTTACTCACTAGACTGATATCATCTAATGCTGTTTAGTCTGCAAAGGCACAATAACTTACTTATTGGGGTTATTTTTGTTGTAATACAATACTGTAGAAGTAAATAAGAAAAATATTCAAGACTTGTGTTGCCTGCTAAAAACAAAATGTAGCTTTTGTAGATCTTCATGCTTCCTTTGACATCGCAAGAGGTTATACAAAGTGATTTTGCAATATGCACTCTTAAATGGGCAAATTATGATTTGCTTAAAAATGAATCACTAAAGCGTTCTAATTTTAGCAGATGTTCACACTTCCTTTAACAGCTTCGAAAGGAACCTGTGCTGAGATTACATATTATATTATAAA